GCCTACCCCCCCACACCCACAGCCCTAGCCCACAGCTTTGACACCATGTCACTCCGAGAACCCACATGGCTCATGGATACCGGTGCCACACACCACATCGCCTCAAACCCAGGTACTCTTTTTCATGTCTCTTCTCAAGCTTTATTTTCACCACATTATATCACTGTTGGAAATGGATCTAAAGTTCGCACTACGGCGGTTGGTACCCACACCCTCCCCACCACTCCTCCCCTTTCCTTAAATAATGTCTTGGTTTCCCCTCATATCACACACAACCTTATCTCTGTTCGCAAACTCACTCATGATAACAACTGCACTGTTGAATTTGATGCTCATGGTTTTTCTGTGAAGGATCGTCAGACGGGGACCGTGATGCATCGGTCCAATAATGTGGGTCCCCTCTACCCTGTAGGCCAACTAGAACCTGCCCAAGCGCATGTCTCATCCGTTGATCATCAAACTTGGCATCGTCGTCTCGGACATCCAAGCCCTGCAGTTTTTCGTGGAGTCTCTCATAATTTTTTTATATTTACAAATTGTCAACAAACTCTTTGTCATGCATGTCAGTTGGGAAAGCATGTGTGCCTCCCATTTACTCTTCCAGTCGTGTTTCTTATTTTCCGTTTCAACTTTTGCACACAGACTTATGGCAATCTCCTGTGCCAAGCATCACTGGTTTTAAATTTTATATGTTGTTGGATGATTTTTCTCATTATCTGCGGGTGTTTCCTTTAAGACATAAAAGTGATGCTTTTACTCACTTAAATTCGTTTGTGGCATATGAGAAAAATCATTTTAACACAACAATCAAAGCTGTTCAAAGTGACAACGGAACTGAATACAGAAACTTCCCTCTTAAAAATATTTTTAACTCTTTAGACATTATTTTCCGCTTCTCTTGCCCTCACACCAGTCAACAAAACGGACGTGCCGAACGAACCATTCGCACGATCAATAACACTGTCTGCTCACTCCTCTTCCAAGCCCGACTTCCCCCGGAATTCTGGCTCGTAGCCCTCTACATGGCGGCCCACCTTTTCAACATCCTCCCCGCCACCACTTTAAACAATCAAACTCCTCACTCTGTTCTCTACAACTCACCCCCCACTACTCCCACCTTCGCGTGTTTAGATGTCTCTATTACCCCAACATCTCCGCCACCACTCCCCATAAACTTGTACCACGCTCTACCCGCTACATCTTCCTTGGCTATCCCTCAAACCAACGTGGTTTTAAATGTCTTGATCTTGAAACGAATAAAATCATTGTCTCCCGCCACGTTGTCTTTGACGAACACACCTTTCCATATGCTCACCCC